CTGCTCCCCATCCACAGCGCAGGAACCTTCTGCTCCACGTCTCTGCACTGCACGAGTTTGGTCATCCACCTTCATGTCCACTCACACTATCTCACACACTAGTTCACTCTCTCATGTACTCACCCTCTCTCCGATCCTGCCCGCCGCCATCTTTTTCTGTGTGTTTTTGTTTTAATTGATTTCTAGTTTTATGTCATTGTGATTTGAGAAGGTACTTGATATGATTTCAATGTTTTTGAACTTGTTGAGACTTAGTTTGTGTCCTAACATGTGGTCTGTCTTTGCGAATGTCCCATATGCACTTGAGAAGAATGAGAATTCTGCAGTTTTGTGTTTAATTATCTGTAGATATCTATTAAATCCATTTGATCTAGCACTTCAATTAGAGTCTGTGTTTTCTTGTTAATTTTTTGTCTAGATGATCTAGCCAGTGATGTCAGCAGGGTGTTGAAGTCCCCTGCTGATTGTATTGCTGTCAATTTCTCCTTTGAAGTCCTCCAGAAGATTTTTAATATATTTTGGTGGTCCTGTATTGTGTGCATATATGTTTATCAAGGTTATATCCTCCTGTTGGATAGATCCTTTCCATACTATGTAGTGGCGTTCTTTGTCTCTGGTTATGGCCTTTATTTTGAAGTCTATTTTATTGGATATGAGTATGGCTACTGCAGCATTTTTTTCCTTTCTGTTTGCTTGGAAAATTTTTTTCCATCCCTTCATTTTCAATCTATGTGAGTCTTTTGTGAGGCGGATCTCTTGTAAACAACATATAGATGAGTCATGCTTTCTTATCCAATCAGCTACTCTGTGTCTTTTGATTGGAGGCTTAATCCATTTACATTTAAGGTTATTATTTATATGTACTTATTTATTGCCATTTTTGTTTATTGTGCTTCAGTTTCTCTTCCTATTTCTTCTGTTTATTATAGTTTTTGTTTGTTTGTTTGTTTGTTTGTTTGTTTGTTTTTTGCAGTGCTGGTTTGGTGCTTATATATTTCCTTAGCCTTTTTTTTTTTTTTTTGGTCTGGGAAGCTCTTTATTTCACTTTCTATTTTGAATGATAGCCTTACTGGATAGAGTAGTCTTGACTTCAGATCCTTGTTTTTCATTACCTTGATTACTTCATGTCATTCCCTGTGTCCTGTCGTGTTTCTGTTAAGAAGTCAGGTGATAGCCTTATGGGGGTTCCTTTGTAGGTAACCTGTTGCTTATCTCTTGCTGCCTTTAGGATTCTCTTCCTTTCTCTAATTTTTGGCATTTTAATTATTATTTGCCTTGGTGTTTTCTGTTTGGGTCCTTCTTACTTGGGGCTCTCTGTGCTTCTTGAACTTATATGCCTATTTTCTTCACCAAGTTAGGAAAGTTTTCTGTCACTATTTCTTCAAATATATTCTCTAACCTTGTTCATTTTCTTCTTCTTCTTCTTCTTCTTCTTCTTCTTCTTCTTCTTCTTCTTCTTCATCTGGAACCCTTATAATGCGGATATTGTTAATTTTCATATCGTCCCACATTTCTCTTAGGCTCTCTTCCTGTCTTTTAATTATTTTTTCTTTTTCTTTTTCTGGTTGGGTGATGTTTTTCTACCCTATCTTCTAATTTACTGATCCAGTCCTCAGCTTCTTCTACTCTGCTTGTTATTCCTTCCAATGTGTTCTTTATTTCTGTTTGTGATTCTTCATTTCTGCTTGGTGGTATTTTATTTCCAAGTGGTTGATTTTCAATGTTTCTATATTTTTACTCATGCTTTTGAGCTCTTTGCTCATGCTGTTGAGCTTCCTCATAATCATTACTCTGTACTCTGCCTCTGATAACTTGCTTAATTCCATTTCATTTAGCCCTTCTTCTGTAGATTTCTCTTGTTCCTTCATTTGGGATTTGTTTCTTTGTTTCACCATTTTGGCTGTCTCAGTGTTTTGGAGCCTGCCAAATTTTTCTTGTTGGTGTTGGTGTACCACTGCTTGTGGTTCCCTCTACTAGGTTTGGATGAGTGTGGGAGGTCCCACATTAAACACCACTGTCAAGTCTTACCTTCCTGAATAAATGTAAAGGCCAATCAAAGGTTCAGTTATCCTCTAGCTTTTGCCTGCAGGCTATTAGTCTCAGTTACTTGATGAGCCTTGGTTTGTAGCCCTCTGCTGAATAAAAAATCTCTCAGGTGTGAGAGGATTTTCAGCAGGTGGGGCACTTGCTTACTGCCAGACTCTAGCTGTTAATGAGCCACAATTTGCACTTGTCTGGCCTGGTTTGGTGTTGTTAAATTCCTGATGGAGGGGCTTTGCTTCTTCCCCAGGCTCTGGGAAGGGGCTCTTTGAGTAGGATAGCTACTGTCCTATAAAGGAGCGATGCAGCATAAAATTCCAGATGTCCTCCCTCCCAGCTCTTCGAACACCCAAGTCTCTCCACACAGTTCCAGTCCAGTCTGGCCTCCCTCTGTCAGAGCCCAAGGTGAGTGGCAATAGTTAATTTAGTGCTCTGCCATGTTTTTCTTTTGCACTTCTCCTTGCTGGACAAAGCTTTAGTTCTGGTGTTCTCAGCCAGGTGTTATGTGGTTGCCTTTTCCTGTCCCAACACTCTGTGCTGTGGAGCCAGATTGGGGCTTCAACCCTGACTACTCCAAGGGAACTGTTCACAGTTAAAACAGCCCTCACCTGCTGTCCCTGGGCTCCCATCCTGCTGTCTCATGCCTCTGCATTTTCTACCGGGCTTGATTTGGTATCCTCTTTCTGTCTCTGGTTATATTGGTTCTCTCCAGCTGCTTTTCTGTTGGTTTTTCCTGATGATTTTTCTTTGTTTTAGTTGTAATTCCAGTTTTGTCCTAGGTGATGGTCTGTGTAGCTTCCATTCACTCCATCACCATTTTTTTCTTCCTGAATTCCATTTTCTAAGGCTTGGTAGGTATCAATCAAGACTTAAAAATGAGGTAAATTTAAATTAGAGTAATAATTTATAGACTGGGCTTTGAAACTAACCTGTGTGGGGTCTAGTTCTTGCTCTGTCACTACTGAACTTTGTGGTGTGAGGGATTTAATCTCTCTGGGCCCCTAGTTTTTATATGCAAAATGGGAATAATAGCATTGCTTACCTCAGGCGGCTTTTGAGTGCCATGCTGGGAACAGTTATGGGCATACCTTAGTCGCTCAATAAAGGGAGGTGCTGTATTAACAACAAGCCTGTTTATTCCTCAAAAATAAATCAACCAAGAAATTAACAAGGAACTCAGTCCCAGGCCTAGTAAAATTGACAGAGGCTCTATGTCTAGAGGATGTGCACATGAGTTCAATTTAATTATGTAATGAAGACAGCAAATTAGTGACCCTGTAGCCTGTACTGAGAAGAAAGGATTCTCAACACCTGCTTTTCATGGCTCCGTAAAGAAAATTATGTAGGCAACAAGGCACAAAAACAAACCAGAATCATTCAAAAGGTTTTGGTCAGCAGAATCAGAAAATTCACAATGAAAAAGATTTGTTGAGGAAATGATATGGGGTAATTTTCTTACATGACCTGTACTATTTAACTTTAAAAATTTTAAGAGGTCACCTAGTTATCTATGAAGAGTGAAATGTTTGGTGACAGAATGGGGTTGTGATCTGAAAAAAGAATAGATTTTCTGGCCACAGTGGGAAGTTTGTTAGGACTCAGCTAAAGATGTATAACATAATTATCAGGTGGTGACAAGGGCCACACTGAGGCTGGATATCAGTGTATGTGGTGAGTGAGGTCCCCAGGTTCTGCCTTCCCCTGGCAGTGCTCTGTGACTGGCCAGGCAAGATGACAACTAGGTTCATGACCTGCACCGAGAAGGAATAGAGGCTGTGGATTTTAGGAGGACAAGTGCCTAAATGTCATTACAGTGGGCGATGAAAATGAGAAGCAAGAACTGGGACAAGCTAAGAAGCACAGCAGAGGTCTCCCTGGGGAGCGACAGGCACTGATGATTGAAAGAGTGATTTATAAATGAGTGGAATCCATCAGGAAGAGAAATGGTGGTCCTAAGAGCCAAAAAAAAAAAATCTTGGGTAGTGTGGTGAAGGACTACTTATCCATTGATCTGAAAGAAATAGGAAAAAATAAGAGCACCACAGAGAGGGGGCATTCATTCGACAAATATACAGGGCATCCAAAAGAAATGTATACAGGGTGTCTGTAGATTCAATTACATTTTGAAAATGAAATGTATTTTAATAAACACTGGCTTTGCCCTGGCTGGTTTGGCTCAGCAGATAGAGAGTCAGCCCTCGAACCAGAGAGTCACAGGTTCAATTCTAGTCAAGGGCACGTGTCTCAGTTGCACTTTGGTCCCCAGCCCTGGTTGGGATCGTGCAGGAGGCAACCATTCAATGTGTCTCTCTCACATCATTGTCTCTCTCTCTCTCTCTCTCTCCCCCCCCCCCACTCTATCTGACGATAAATGGGGGAAAAAAGGATACTCGAGTGAGCATTTTTTAAAAATAAAATAAACACTGTCTTTATGCTTATTCAAAGTTGGCATGCATTTTTTGGGACACCCTATATTTGGGGTGCCTGCATCATGGAAGGCAGCATGCTGAGGCAGGCTGTGTGTCTTGGGGAACCTGTCCAGTGTAGGTCTATAGGGTATTTTCTTGAGTAATTCAACACCTCACTTGATCATGGAGATGCTCTGTGTGCCCTGCCCTCTCTGTCTTCACTGTTTCTTGTAAAGAACTTTGATTGGTCCATTTGATATCCCCATTTCCAGCCAACCAAATATGAGTTGGTGCCAAAACCCCATCCCCAGATGGGTTACCCAGCATGATGCACAGGAAGAATCAGTAAACACCTGTTGAGTTGGCTCATTTTTCTACTCTTTGCAAGAGTTTTTGTAGACTACCCACTTCCTCCTCAGACTCCCCGATTTTTTAGATATACTTAGTTTTGATCTGTTTAAATCTCCCCTCATTGAAGAAAGAGAGCCTTTTCCTCACAATCTATCACTGAGTGCCTTGCAGCTGAGGTAGTTTCTCCCTTCCTCTTGGCAGATTCAGAGACCTCAGGTTTGTGCGAACGGCAGAACTCCTGGCGGGGAAATTGCCTTTGCAGCCTCACGAATATCAGGATGTGATCCGGAAACAGTGTATGGAAGCACGCCAGGTCCTCCTTGACACGTCAGTATCTGGCCCCCGTGGGCTGCCTCACCAAGCGGGATGGCAGCGAGCTCTCTGCATGAAAACCGCAGCCAGGGCTGCACAGTGTGCTGACCCCCGGCGTCTTCTCTGCCCTCTTCCTCTCCGGGCCCAGCCATGCCCTCACGCCCTGCTCTTCCCCGCGCCCACACCCTCCGCCTCTCCTACCCTCGGGAGGGTGCCCTTGCACCCCCTCTGCAATCGCAGGCCTTGCCGGGTCACAGGACAGTGCAGCCGAATGACGTGCACTCAGGTGGTCCGGATAAACAGCCACAGGGTCCCAAAGTTAGGGGGTTTTCAGTCACTTAGACGATTCCTTTTCCTTTGCAAACACATGCAGGGCTATGTCCAGAGAAATGTCCCATGTAGAACGATGATGATAATGCCTACCACTGCGATTTTGTCATCAGAGAATATGTATGTCTATGCAGTAGCTGGCACACAGTAGCTGCTTGGTACATAGGGTCATTATTGCCTCTGACGGTGGCTGGTGCTAGAGCAGTAGTTTGCTGGCAATCAGGAGAGAGAGGTAATAGATGGAAAGACAGGGTCCCCACTGGGAATGGGGATTGGAAGGTGGGGAAGCAAGGAGAGGAGCAGCGAGGCATCCACGCCTTCGTCTGGTTTCTAACGACCCCTCCCCACGTCTGGACGCACTGCCACATGGAGCCCCTCCTCTGAGTTTTCTCTTCTCCTCTTTCTCTTCCCCTACAGCATCTGAGTCAGAGGCCAGGCATTTGCCAGGGAGAGAAGTTTCACGAAACATTCCAGTTCGTAGCCCCTTCACCCCAGTCTCTGATAATAATAGAAAAGCAATAAACTCTTTCAGCAGAACATGGCAGTAGCATCCCCTGTCCATCTGGGTACTGTTAGTGGAAGAATCACCTCTCGAGTCGGATCTCACTGGTTTGTTCTCAGGAAAGGGGTGTTAGGCGAGGCTGCCAGGGGTGTGAAAGTCCCGATTCGAAGAGGTGCTGAATTGGATGCCCTCCCGTCTTTGCAGGTGGATCCCCACCTGTGCCCAGCTGTTTGTCTCCCAGAGGGAGCACTGGGTCCACTTTGCTCCCAAGAGTGACTACGACTCCTCTCGCAACATTGAGGAGTATTTTGCTTCTATTGCGTCGTTCATGTCGCTGCAGCTCAGAGAGCTGGTCATTAAGTCTCTTGAGGATCTCGTTTCCTTTTTCATGACACACAAGGTAAGTGAGGGCCGTAAAGAAGCCCTTGCCACGCCCTGGCCAGTTTAGCTCAGTGGTTACAGCATCGGCCCAAAGACCAAAGTGTTGTGGGTTCAATTCCAGTCAGGGGCAGTTGTGGTTCATCCCCGGCCCTGGTCGGGGTTGTGCAGGAGGCAACCAGTCGATGTGTCTCTCATCTATGTTTCTCTCCCTCTCTCTCCCTCCCTCCCACTCTATCTGAAGATAAATAGAAAATATCCTTGGGTGAGGATTAAAAAAAAGAAGAAGTCCTTTCTAGGGGACATGACCAAGATGAGTAAGGATCCCATCAGTTATGAGCCAGAACAAAAAATAAAATGCTTGATCCACACCCACTTCAATTCATTATTAGTTTGTTTATTTACTTATTTTAACTTTTTTTCATTATTGATTTTTTTTTTTAGAGAGAGAGATGGAAAACATCAATGAAACATCAATGAGAGAGAACATTGATTGGCCGCCTCCTGCATGCCCCCCACTGGGGATCAGGCCCACAACCTGGGCATGTGCCCTGACCAGGAATCAAACAGGCAACCTCTTGGTACATGGGTCAATGCTCAACCAGTGAGCCACACTGACTGGGCCATCATTAGTTTATAAACTAATACTGTGAATATACAGCAAGCTTTCCTGAGATAATTACCTACTATTGGTAAAAATCTACAGAAATGGAGAAGTTGTTAGGAAAAAATTAAAGAAAGATTGCATAAAATAGAATACATACCTTTTAGAGTAGGAGGTGTGGTCACTTTTTCATCCTCTCTGTTAAAGGACAGGGTTGAAAAGGTTTGTTATCAACCTTTAGCTTGATCTTTAGGGAGTGTTGTATGTATCATTGCAGATTTTGACTTTCATTCTTCAGTCTTTGAAAGGGACGTCCCTAAAAACAAAGGGCCTTGTTGACCTAATTAATAAATTCCTTCAGGAAACTACTTCAGTGAAGTAGAAATAAAAACCAAAAACACTTAAGTCCTGGTTTTCAGCGTATCACATGATCCCCTAAACTTAGGGGGCCTAGGGATCTAGGAAGATTCTTTTGGATTTTATATCTTGTGGACATCTGGCCTTTAAAAGAGTAATATAAAGTTTAAATTGCCTGGTTATAAAAGGTTAAGTTCTAGGGAGTCTTACAAATCAAATAAAGATAAACAATTGACCTTTTGCTCAAAAACTATAGCAACCAGTGCTGCTGAATTTAGACTGCAGTGTTAGTACTCCAAGCGCCAATCCATAGGTGTCATTGTCACCTTTACTCTACTAAGCGGAAGGAACAATGTGCGAACAGAGCTCATTTAAAAATTCTACACAGAGGGGAAAACAAGATCTTCATGTGTCTGAAAGAAGTAGAAATTTATGGGTATTTGATGCATAGTAGGTGTTCTACAAATGTTCATCAATCTTCCTTAGACTGATCCAGAAATGTCCAAAAGCAATTAGTTAGACAAGTGCTTCACAAAGGGCCTTGTTGACCTAATTAATAAATTCCTTCAGGAAACTACTTCAGTGAAGTAGAAATAAAAACCAAAAACACTTAAGTCCTGGTTTTCAGCGTATCATGTGATCCCCTAAACTTAGGGAGCCTAGGGATCTAGGAACATTCTTTTGGAAACTGTCTGCACAAGCTAATAATACAAGATGCCTTTCATGTGTTACAGGCCCTACTGAAACTGCCGCGAAAGGCATCTTGTATTATTAGCTTGTGCAGACAGTTATGAATATCTCCACACCAATATTTTTGTTGTAGGGAAGCTTGACATTTTGAGTGTCTAAAATAGACAATAGGCTCATTAGCAACTCCATCTGAGGTATGCAGATAACTAATTATGTGTTTGGATTCAGTCAGCAAATTTTTATTGAGCACCTACCATGTGCTGAATGAAGTTTGGATATTTTGGAAGAAGTAGATGTTTCAGACACAGGCCCTGCCCTCTGGTTTAGAGAAGAATAGAAAAGATAAGATGTGCATGGCCAGTGTGGCTCAGTGGTTGAGCGGCGACCCATGAACCAAGACATCACTAGTTCGATTCCTGGTCAGGGCACATGCCCAGGTTGTGGCCATCCCCAGTGGGGGACTTGCAGGAGGTGGCCAATCAATGTTCTCTCTCATCGATGTTTCTATCTCTCTCTACCTCTCCTCTCTCTCTAAAATCAATATAAAAATTTTTTTAAAAAAAGAGAAAAGATAAGATGTACATATAAATCTCAATGAGAAAGAAAGATGAGATACCCTGAGGAAGTGGAAAATGAAGTTCAGGAGTGCAGGAGATTATATCTTGCTGGGGGAGCAAGGAGACCTCAAAGGGAGGTATTTTGTGATGAGTTTTGAAGGATGAGAAGGATTTGGAAATACTGATGCAGGAATTTCCAAGCAAAGTAAACAAACTGAGTAAAAGCTGTGGGGAGGGGAGAGGAGGAGCTCCAGGTGACTGAGCCTTCCTGAGCCCTCATTTAGAGTGAGTGGTGCAGGATGGCTTTCACACCCTTCTGATGCTGGCAGTACAGGAATGGTCAGTCCACTGCCTTGACTCTGGAAAGCCCCATTTCATGACGGTTGCCATGTCTTCTGTCTCCTGAAGGATGGGAATGACTTTGAAGAGCCCTACCAAGAGATGAAGTTCTTTATTCCTCAGCTACTCACGATCAAACTTGAAGTGGACGAGCCCATTATTGTCTTCAGTCCAACTTTTGATGACTGTTGGAAGTTAATACAGAGCTCTTTCTTGGAAATTGTTGAAAACTCTAAGGGGATCCCCAAGGTAAAATATCCACTTAATCATCCATTTGTACTTTTGTTGTTGTTGTTGCTTATAGCATAAAATATATTTAAAATTGCTATTTATAGTCAGCCAGGTGAGTTTCACTTTGGGAGATCTATCCTGAGTATACCCCCTTGACCCCAGAGAGAGGATTTGGACCATAAAGAAATGCCCATGCATTTCAGAACTCTGCTTCTAACAAGGGCATTAAGAGTCACTTTATGGGAGAGTTGAATGCCTCCCAGGATGCCAGCCTCCAAAGGTACATCTGTCCCAAGTGGTATCCAACTTGGGCCAATAATTCACAATGGAGAAGTTGCCATGAACTCACCAGTGGTCTCCCTAAAACTGTATCTGATGTAGCTCTGGAGGTTCCATGCATTTTGTTTATTGTTTGACCTCTGTCGGTGTCTGAGGAGAGTGCCCTGGCCCTTTCCAGCTTCCTTTCCAGGGCGGTATCACTAATCAGATTCCAGGCAGTGCTTAAAGAGCCCTAGGGCTGGGCTGAATCACCCACATGAGTGGGACTCTTCTGTATACCATCCTCTGTTTCCCTGTGGTGGTCAGTGTGACAAGGGAGACAGTGTGCAGGCCCAGGTGGGAGGGACCTGTGGGGTGCTCCTCTCCCCCTCTCGGCCACGCCTCGTATGTGGTATGTGCATGCTGTTGGACCATGCATCACGTGTAATGCATGCTCTTGAGTACTCTCTCTGTGGTTCTCTACTGAGAGGGCTGGTTCTAAGACCTCAGGATTTGAGTGGGTTTGGAAGAAAGCATGTGAAACCAATGCTCCAATTGGTTTCACTCTAAATTTGGGGTTTTGAACCCAACCAAGCCTGGTTAACAGGAACACTGTGTGTGTGAAGAGGGAAGAAATAGTAGGCAGTGCTCTGACAACCAGCATCCCGAGGAAAGAACTGGAAGAGCAGACCCTGTAGTTTGGAAGAATGAGTGTGGGGCTGGGCACGGATTGAGCACCCCTGCCTGAGCTCTCCCTCACGCTGCTGAGCAGAGTGTTTGCAAGGGTCCAGGTTGGGGCCGCCCAGGGCTCGTGTGGCTGCTACTGCAAACAGCAGGAGCCGGTGGTGGGTTCAGTGGCTTCTAATGAAAAGACACAGTCACAGGTCACAGTTTGTACCAGATTGAAAGCTAGGCCCAAGTGGATGCCAGTGACTGTGTCGGCCACGAGGAAAGCAGCACAGGCCCGCGTGCTCCACCTGGACACACAGGACTCTGGCTCCTGCCCCGGACAACTCAGACTATTGCCTCTCAGCTGGGTAGTGAAAATGTAAAACAATAGTTCTTCAGGGTGAATATCTAAGTAAAACATCTGAGAACAGCAATAGGTGGACAGTACCCCCAGTCTCTACCAATCTTGCCTTTTTTATGGTTAAATATGAATTTTAGAAGTTGGAAAAAGTCAGCATGAAATGTTTGATAATAGCTTCAAGGTGCAGAAGGAAAGCATATTTGTGAGAAGCTTACTAAAGGAAACCAAAGCATATTTTAAAAAATATTTGTCTTAATAAAAAAGAGAATTGAAGGAGTTCTGGTCAAGATGGTGGTATAGGTCAATGCAGCACCTGAATCCTTACACAACAACATTAGAGTTACAAGTAAACTACAGAACAGCCATCATTCAAAACTGCCTGAAATCTAGCTAAACAGAAGTCCTGTAAGTAAGGATATAAAGGAAGAAGCCATGTCAAGACTGGTAGGAAGGGCAGAGACTCAGAATGGGCTATTCCTGATAAAAATTAGGAGGGACACCTCAACTGTGAAGGTCCCCACTGAGGAGCAAGGAATCCCCATCCCACACCAGGCCACCCAGCCCAGGGTTCCAGTGACAGAAAGAGGCTGCTGGAGCCCCATCACTTCGGGCTGTAAAGCCAGTGGGAACTGAGGCTGAGGGAAGCTGAGGCTGCTGGAGCCCCAGGCCACTCCTTTTAAAGGGCCCATGCACAGACTTACTCAGACTCACTCCCTCTGGGCTCCAGCATGGGGGAGGCAGCTTGAAAAGCTCCAGAAATATGTGGGGAAGAACTGAATTGTTTAGCATCAGGGCGAGAGCCAGAGGGGCAGTTTTCTCCCAGACAGAAGAGCTGACAGAGGGCATTGTTTCTTTTCTGGGCCCTCCCACCCACAACCTGCAGTTGGGGTACCATATCTCAGTCTCCATGAACATGGCTCACACTGTTAGCCCCACACTGGTGATTCCCTGGAGACCCTGCCCCACTCAACTTTTGAGCCTCAGCCCAAGCTGATTCCAGTGGCTTTTCCATACAAATGGCCTGTCTAGGCTCATGCTTTGCATTTTCCTAAAATCTCTCAAACAAGCAGCATCTGGTCTCAGCGAGCCCTGTACTAGCAGCAGCCGGTCTGGGTTTGCAGCTTGGCCTCTCCTGGGCACCTCTAAGCCCAGCCCAAGTAGCAGCCATCGGAAGATCACTTTGTAGCTTATGCTGGGCGGCCCCAGGCTGGGCACAGGAGGTGGCTGACCTTGGCCTGTGCCTCCCAGGTAGCCCCAGAGCCAGCACACCCAGTAGACAGCTTCAGACCACGTCAAAGCACCACCACCCAACCACCTCCACAAGGGACACACTCACAGGGTGGACTCAGTGGGCACCAGAGCCCTGCTGAAGTAAGTCCTGCGTGGGTTTGGCCCCTGCAAAGCTGATCCTCCATGGTGGTCATAGTTGGTCCTTGCAGACAATCTCTCCCATTGAGGTGCCAACAGCAATCAAGGCTCAGTTACAACAAGAGGGTACACACAGCCCACATGGGGAGGCACTGGGTGATCAAGAGGCTGTGTCACTGGACCCTACAGGACACCTACTACAATAAGCCACTCTACCAAACCCAGGAGACACAGCAGCTCTACCTAACACAAAGAAACAAACAAGGGAGGCAGCCAAAATGAGGAGACAAAGAAACGTCCCAAATGAAAGAACAGAGCAAAACTCCAGAAAAAGAACTACAGTTGGCCTTTGTTTATCATGATTAATCAGTTCCAGTCTCTACCGCAGAAGTTCTCAACCTGTGGGTTGTGACCCCTTAGGGGGTCAAACGACCCTTTCATGGGGGTCACCTAAGACATAACAGTAGCAAAATTACAGTTATGAAGTAGCAACAAAAATAATTTTATGGTTGGGGGTCACCACAACATGAGGACCTGTATTAAAGGGTTGCGGCATCAGAAAGGTTGAGAACCACTGCTCTACTGCAATAAATGAATTTCTGAAAAGTGGGATTCTTTATTTATATACAGTCGTCCCTCGCCACTTTGCACTTCGACTTTCGCAGCTTCACTCTAGCACGGTCATCATTTAAAATAGAAAGACATGGGGGGATAAATAATGATGGAAAAAATAAAATTTAATTTAAGAAAATAATTGAAAGACAAATTAAGAACTTCTCAGACAAGAAAAAGCTAAAGGACTTCATCACCACCAAACCAGTATTACAAGAAATGTCAAAGGGTCTTCTTTAAGAAGAGGAAAGGGAATAAAGGATCAAAAACATAGAATAATAAAATGTCAATAAATACATATCTATCAACAATAAATGCAAATGGATTAAACATTCTAATCAAAAGACCTATGGTGAAGAGATAACAAGACATATGACTAAAGAGATAACAAAACAAGATCCTGTCTACAAGAGACTCACTTCAGATCGAAAGACACATATAGACATAAGTAAAGGATGTAAAACAATATTTCATGAAAATGGAAACAAACAAATAAAAAAGCTAAGTTAGCAAAACTTGTACCAGACAAAACAGAGTTTACATCAAAGGCATGAGACAAAGAAGGATCCAATAATTCCACTTTTAGGTACTTATCCAAAGAAAAGCAGAACACTATTTCAAAAAGACATATGTATCTATACACTCTTTGCAGTATCATTTACAAAAAGATACGGAAGCAACATAAATGTCCATCAGAAGAGGAATGAATAAAGAGTATGTGGTACATATATACAATGGAATAAGACAGCCATAAAAAAGAATGAAATCTTGCCATCTGCAACAACATGGATGGACCTAGAGGGTATTGTGCTGAGTGAAATAAGTCAGACAGAGGAAGACAAATGTCATATGGTTTCACTTATATTTGGAATCTAGAAAACAAACTAAATGAACAAGGAGAACAGAAACAGACTCATAGACCCAGAGAACATTTTACGGTTGCCAGATTGGAGGGGGCTTGGGAGAAGAGTGAAAAAGGTGAAGTGATTAAAAAGTACAGATTGGGTGCTTGCTTCAGCAGCACATATACTAAAATTGGAACAATACAGAGAAGATTAGCATGGCACCAGCACAAGAATGACACTCAGATTCATGAAGTATTTCATGTTTTTACAAAGAATCTTAAAGGAAGCAAGAGAGAGGCAGAAAGTGACCTACAAGGGAGCTCCCATTAGACTGTCAGCTGATTTCTCACTAGAAACACTGCAGGCCAGAAGAGTGGCATGAACTATATAAAGTAATGAAAGGCAAGGGTCTGAATCCAAGACTACTCTATCCAGCAAGGCTATCATTCAAAATTGAAGGTGAAATAAAGAGCTTCACAGATGAAAGAAAAGCTAAAGGAATGTACCACCACCAAACCAGCACTGCAAGAAATGCTGAAGGGACTGCTGTAAAAAGAAGAGAGAGAGAGAAAGAGAGAGAGAGAGAGAGAGAGAGAGAGAGAGAGAGAGAGAGAGAGAGGAACACAGGCATAAAATAAAAATGGCAACTAATCACTAACTATCAATAATAACCTTAAATGTAAACGGCTTAAATGCTCCAATCAAAAGACATAGGGTAGCTGATTGGATAAGAAAACACGACCCATATATATGCTGTCTACAAGAGACCCACCTCACAACAAAAGACTCACACAGGATGAAAATGAAGGTATGGCAAAAAATTTTCCAAGCAAATGGAAATGAAAAAAAAAAAGCTGGTGTAACAATACTCATATCTGATAAGATAGACATCAAAATGAGAGCCATAAGAAGAAAAAAAGAAGGTCACTACATAGTATTAAAAGTATCAATCCAACAAGAACATATAACCCTGGTAAACATATAATCACCAAATAGAGGAGCACCAAAATATATCAGAAAACTTCTGGAAGACTTTAAGGGAGAGATCAATAGCAATACAATCATAGTGGGTGACTTTAACACCCCACTGACACCACTGAATAGATCGTCTAGACAAAAAATTAACAGAGTTTGTAAATAATAAATTACATCAATTGGACTTAATTGATATTTATAGACATTTCACCCCAAAGCTGCAGAATATACATTCTTCTCAAATGTGCATGGGACATTCTCAAAGATAGACCACGTGTTAGGACACAAACTAAGTCTCTACAAATTCAAGAAGATTGAAATCATATCAAGCATCTTCTCAGATCACAGTAGCATGAAACTAGAAATCAGTTACAACAAAAAACACATACAAACACATGGAGGCTAAATAGCATGATATTAAACAATGAATCGGTTATCAAGGAGATCAAGGAAGAAATAAAAATTTCCTGGAAACCAATGAAAATGAACACACAACAACACAAAATCTATGGCATACAGCAAAAGCAGTTCTGAGAGGGAAGTCCATAGCACTGCTGGCCTACCTGAAGAAAAAAGAAAAATTCCTAATTGACTTTCTAACCCTACAACTTAAAGGACTAGGAAGTGAACAAAAATAAAAACCTAGAGCAAGTAGAAGGAAAGAAATAGTAAAGGTCAGAATGGAAATAAATAACATAAAGACTAAAGAATAAACCAAAAGATCAATGAAACAAAGAGCGGGTTCTTTGAAAAGATAAACAAGATTGATGGACCCTTAGCTAGACTCACCAAGAAACAAAGAGAGAGGACCCAAATAAAATCAGAAACAAAAGAGGAGAAGTAACAACTGATACAGCAGAAATATCAATGACCATTAAAATGTACTATGAACAAGTATAGGCCAACAAATTGGACAATCTACATGAAATGGACAAATTTCTAGAAACATAGTGTCCCAAAACTGAACCAGGAAGAGATAGAAAACTTGAACAGACCAATAACAACTAAGGATATTGAAAATATAATCAAGAATCTCCCAGAAAACAAAAGCCCAGGCCCAGATGGCTTCATGGGGGAGCTTTACTGAACATTCAAAGAAGAACTAACACCCATTCTCCTCAAACTATTTCAAAAAATCCAAAAAGGAAAAAGACTTCCAAACTCATTTTATGAGGCCAACATAATTTTAATTCCAAAACCAGATAAAGACACTACTAAAAAAGAAAACTACAGGCCAATATCCCTGATGAACATAGATGCCAAAATGCTTTACAAAATATTAGCAAATCGGATCCAGCAATACATTAAAAAAATTATTCATCATGACCAAGTGGTACAATATTCACAAATCAATAAATGTGATACACCACATAAACAAAATGAAAGATATAAACCATATGATCATATCAATAGATGCTGAAAAAGCATTTGACAAAATCCAGCACCCATTTCTGATAAAAACGCTCAACAATGTGGGAATAAAGGGATCATATCTCAATATAATAAAGGCCATTTATGAAAAACCTACAGCCAACATCATACGCAATGTACAAAAACTGAAAGCATTTCCCTTAAGAACGTAGTACTTCCCTTATTTAACATAGTGCTGGAAGTCTTAGCCACAGCAATTAGACATAAAGAAAACAAAAAGAATCCAAATTAAAAAGGAGGAAGTGAAACTATCATTATTTGCAGATGACATGATACTATACATAGAAAACCCCAAAGATTCCATCAAAAATCTACTAGATTAAATAAATGAATTTGGCAAACTAGCAGAATACAATATTAACATTAAAAAATCGATGGCATTCTAATACACCAACAACAAACTCACAAAGAAACTGAAAAGCAATCCCATTTACCATTGCAGCAAAAAAAATTAAGATACCTAGGAATAAACAACCAAAGACGTAAAGGACCTATTGACAGAAAACTACATGCCATTGAAAAAAGAAATAAAAGAAGATATAAAAAAGTGAAAGCATATACCTTGTTCATTGATTAGAAGAATTGACATCATTAAAATGTCCTTGCTACCCAAAGCAATTCATAGATTCAATACAATCTACATCGAAATACCAATGACATATTTCACAGAACTAGAACAAACACAGCATAGTTTATATGGAACCAAAAAATAACCCAAATAGCTACAGCAATCTTGAAAAAGATGAACAAAGTAGGAGGGATCACAATACCAGATATCAGGTTATACTACAAAGCTATTGTAATTAAAACAGCCTGGCACTGGCACAAGAACAGGCATATAGACCAGTGGAACAGAACAGAGAACCCACAAGTTACCCAAGTCATTATGCTCAATTAATGTTTGACAGAGGTGGCAAGAGCATACAGTGGGGTAAAGAGAGCCTCTTTAATAAATGGTGTTGTGAAAATTGGACAGCTACATGCAAAATAATGAAGCTAGACCATCAACTTACACCATACACAAGAATAAACTCTAAATGGATAAAAGATTTAAATGTGACTCATGAATCTATAAAAATCCTAGAAGAAAATGTGGGCAACAAAATTTCAGACATCACACGAAGCAGAATTTTCACCAATACAATGCCTAAGGCAAGAGAAACAAAGGAGAAAATGAACACATGGCACTACATCAAACTCAAAAGTTTCTGCACAGCAAAAGAAACAACCATCTAAATGGAAAGGGAACCCACTGTATGGGAGAGCATAATTGCGAACAATACATCAGATAAAGGGCTAATTTCCAAAATATATAGAGTGCTCATACAACTCAACAAAAGAAAGACAAAGAACCTAATTAAAAAATGGGCAAAGGAGGAATAGGAAAAATGGCGGCAGAGTGAATGGAGCTACACAGACCATCTCCCAGGACCAAACTGGATTTACAACGAAAATAAAGGCAAATCATCAGGAAGGGGCAACCGAAAGACACCTTGGAGGACCACATAACCAGGGACACCGACTCAATCCTGGTAGGCTTGCGAGGATGCAAGAGGGTGCCGGGAGCCCACTGTCCACAGCGTCCTGGGCGGGGACCAGTGTACTTGGCGGGAAGTTGCTGCTACCACCTTGGCTGCGACCCCGCCTAAGTCTTGCGAACTCTGCTACCTGCTAAGCCCTCGGCTGGTGCCACATGGACTCGCTGGGACCAGGGGACTCTGCTGGAAGCTGCTGCCACCTTGGCAGTGTCCCGATACCTCGGCTTAGTCTTGGGGCTTCTGCTGAGTGCAACGCTCTCGGCTGGTGTCACAGCAAAGGCCTTCCTTGGCTGGAAGCAGCGCCCTTGGGTTAAAAGTCCCAGGCGGGTCCACGGCACAGAGTCTAGACAGAGGTTAAATTGGCAGCAGCCACTCACCTTGGGCTCCGGCAGAGGGAAGGCAGACTGGACTGGGACTGTGTGGGGACACTCAGGTTTTGGAGGGTGCTCAGAGCTTTTGCTGAGTGCAGCCACGCAGAACTGTGGTCATTTTACTCGTTCCCAGGACCCTGAGGAGAGCCAGGGGCCCCTCCCTCAGAGATTCAACCCCACCTGGTGGCCATTGAAATGCTAATTGAGGCCCCTTAACAACCAGCATCTGCCCCACCCTCAAGAAATCCTCTTACACTGAGCACCTGAGGGAGTTTTTCAGGCAACTCAGAAACCAAGGTTCTTCAGGTGACCTCTACTAATAGCCTACAGGCAAAAAAAGCTAGAGAATAACTACCATTCCCTGGGCTAGCAACACTAACCAGAAAAGCTAAGACTTGACAGTGGTGTTTAAAGTAGGTCCTCCCTGCCTCATCCAAACCCAGGAGAGGAAGCCACAAACAGCAGAACACCAACACCCACAGGGAAAATTTGGCAGACTCCAAAGTCCACTGTGATAGCCAAAATGGTGAAAAACAGAAACAAAAGCCAAATGAAAAAACAAGAGACCTCTACCAAAGATGAGATAAATGAGGTGCAGTTAAGCAAGTTAGCAGAACTAGAATTTAGAGCCATGATGTTGAGGAAGCTCAACAGCATGTGTAAGGATATGAGCACCATGAGTAAAGACATACAAATGTTGAAAATCAACCAGTTGGAAATTAAAAACCAACAAGAAGAAATGAAGAATGACATATCAGAAATGAAAAACACATTGAAAGGTCTAAAAAGCAGAGTAGGGGAAGCTGAGGACCGGATCAGTGAATTAGAATACAGGTAGAAAAAATCAACCAATCAGAAAACCAAAAGGAAAAAATTATTAAAAAACAGGAAGACAGCTTAAGAGAACTGTGGGACAACTGGAAAAGGAATAATATTTGCATCATAGGAGTCT